AGCAACAAATCATCAACAACAACGATGAAACATCAATTCACCACCACCACCCCCAACAACAACATCAACAACAACAACAAATAAATAACTAAATAGCCCATCCGTTCAGGACTTTTCAGTGACTCAACACCAGACCTCATTTCCTTAACAAACAACAACAACTTCAACAACAACAATGAATCATGGGGCCACTTTGATGAACCTGTACGCCCCTTCCCGGGAACCAACAGCACCACAAATTCAGCCAATAACAATAATAATAGCGATAACGCCAAGTCAACTGATAAAGAGCCGTGCCCCGCTTTAAATGATTATGATTGGTGGGTTTTTCTTTATCGGATCCCTTTTGTAATGATGGTGATGATGTTGACGACGACGACGATGACGATTCCATTGGTGGGAGTGAGGAAGACGACGACACAACGACGATTTTTTTCTCCATTCTTTTATACCTCCGCCTTCTCTGGTTAGCACCCCCCCCCCCCTCCTCTCTCCCAGATCACCCCCTCCCCTTTGCATGGTAGTTAAGTGTGGCGGGTAGGTGGTAGCTTCGTCGTGATGTTTAGTTTGTAGCGTTGGAGCGTGTGTGTGTACTGTCATGTTAGAAGAGTTTTATTGTTATAAAGGCTTGCGATGGTTAACTTTCATATATTACTACATGTGTGGCTGTGTGTTTGCTTGTCTTTTTAGATGTTCTTAGATTTTTAGAAATGTGCGTGGGCGTGTTTGGTTGTCTTTTTAGATGAGCTTAAATGTTTGTGTTTTTGTGTTTCTGTTTTAAATGTGCTTTTAAATGTATGTGTGTGTGTGGTGTGTGTGTGCCTTTTCCATTGATATGTTCGGTTGGTTGTGAATAGGTAGGAATGGAGGTTGAACTCTGGGTGAGTGAAGAGGATGGAAAGCGCTGAGAATGTTCAATCCTGGAAACACTTTTGCTTACATTTCGTTTGAAAAGGAATAAGAAAGGTTGAAAGAGATAAAAATAGGAGAGAGAGAGAGAGAGAGAGAGAGAGAGAGAGAGAGAGAGAGAATCATCTCATCTTAGATGTGTTTAGCAGCATTAGTTATTTTCCAGAAAATTGGTTTTAAATGTCGCCGATCTTTATAACATTGGGATTTACTGATAATTTCTATTAAAGTTTCACGATACTTTTTCAAGAGGTTCTTAGAACACCA